TCGTCTAAACTATAACAATTTCATAATAGTAGTGCTAGGTTTATTTAAATAACATGTTATTACCGCCCGTTACCGTTATGGTGTATTATTATTACTTGTGGTATACCTACTGTGCATTCCACGACGATGACTAAAGAAGAAAAACGCTATACACGTATTACAGGCAACTCCTGGAAAAAAATTTATAAAAAAAAATAAGTCTTTTATAGTACACCGGTCGATTTGTTAGTGGACGGTTTAGTGGGAGGGTTACGCGCGCTGGGCAGACGATTGAAATTAACAGTCATATTATTATAAGTTTGTATACAGGGTGTTTCAAAATGATTTAAAATTATATTTTGTTGTAAATATACACGTCCACTCATACTGTTTAATAATATTATTAAATTCAATGTACCTATACCACTTTAGGACTGTACATTTAATGAACAAAAAAAAAAACTGCAAATCAAAGGACAAACATACACAGACCTTTAGTAAAGATATCAAAATAATATTTAATACTTACAATTTGACATAAAAAGAAGCTGCTAAATGATTTTTTTATGTTTTCAATAAATCTTTTTAGTATTTATTTAAATATAATATAAATGCAAGTTTAACAAAAATAATTTATCATAGTAATATATTAGATTTTATCAATCATGAATTAAAGCTATTGAAATATGAAAAATATAATACACATCGTTTATACACGGCATTATACCTGTAGCATGAGTATTACATTTCGATCAAACCTTAAAAGATAAGTAGGTACATTATAGTATTGCTTTTCGAATTAAAAAAAAAAAAAAAGAAATCCACCGTTCTTTAAGACGAGAGTTTTTAATCAGCAATTGTAAATCTTAAATATACTTAAATACAAATTCAAAGCAACTAACAAGTGGCCGACACCGTGCCAGCGTTTTCGTGATTATGAGATTATAATAGAGAAAAAAGGTTTGCGCCCAATTTAAGACCACAAACAATCATTTGTACATCACCTGTTGACGATAGATCTCTCAGTCTATAGATCATTTCACTGCATTTCCTCTCTCGCAATCCGTATCCATCATCTATTCCGGATGGCCCCGGCCAATTGCACCTCAGCGATCAAGATTTCCGCGTGAATGAAACTCTAGTCGAGTTCGTCGGCTTATCGGTGGTTGTATATCATGTCACGATAATGATAAATTCAGGAAATAACTACGTTTTTTCCAAGGAAATGTTCTGAGATGCATCTGGAGTTGCAGTTAGCCAACGATATATATACATATATATATCGTTCATTACAATAAGCTTTGCATAATATTTACATAGTTAATTAGGATCTCTTATCACTTAAATATTGCCTAAAAATAATATAAATTATCTAAGTTCATAAACATTATTGCTGTAAAGTATAATTTATTTTTCTGAACGTTTCCATTTCTCATTTAAATACTACTGATGAGATTGAGTCGACTGGTTCGAATCATGCTAACGCGCTTATGTCTACTCGTATTCATAAACTAGTTACTTAATATAGACTTTCATCGCATACCTTACAATTTGTATGGAACCTAAATCTATGTCCGACAAAATAATGTCATAGCTCTACTCGGGAAGCATCGGGATTCAAAAAATGTAATTGCAAAATTAAATGTAATAGACTAAGTAAGTATAATAAAAGCTGTGTGCCCGTCGAAGAAGTCATAATATATTTAATCAAAAATTCCATTAACATAGTAGTTTGCAATATGTAAATGAATATTAATAATTAACTTTGTTGTATAAAAATCTGTATAGAAAAAATGTGGCCCTTTGTGGCCTAAAGATGTGGCCATTGTGGCATTTGTGGCCATATTGGTTATAATGTATAACTCATCATAAGGCGACAATATTTATATTTTTGAAATCTGAATGTATACCTACATAGTTTCTTAAATAATTTTTTTAGCATTGACAAAAATGTCCAGGAAAATATATAAATTCTTTCATAAAAAAAAATTCACCAAAGACCACTCGATAACATAATATTAGTATTGTGTCTTGATGGGACGGGGCAAGCTTAGCCAACAATACGCACTAAGATGTTCGACAAGACTAGCATAAAGAGTGTGCTGCAGTGCCCTAGAACGGCCTCGTTTTGCGCAACATATTAAGTCCTGAAAACAACAATTGTTTTTTTTTTGTCCTCGCTTCTCTTTTTTATTTTCCATTGCTGGTCGGCAGACACGACTTTGTGTCCTCGAATTCCCCAACAATGGCCGTTGTATATTATATAGGTGTACTTAAACCGAGACGCTGCGACATTTCAAATAAAGGCAGATGCGTGTTCCGAGATAAATTCACAAGACTTAAGCGTCGAAATTCGTTGTGAACAACATTAAATAAAATTAAGTTCCGAATTAAATTTTACACACTCATAGGTACCTACAATTTGTATTTCATAGCGGGAGCGTAATCGCGTTTTGGAATGACCTTCATTATTTTATTCGCGAATTTTAAAATAATGAAAATGTTCGATCTCTATGAAAAACACGTGAACTCGTCGAAGAAAAGTGCAGTCGGAAACTTGATATAGCTTAGATGTAAAACAGTAACAATAAGATAATGTATACCAAAGTATAACAATATAATATTATAACTCATAGAGTTATATAAAAGTAAAGTTACGGGGGCCGCACGTAGTTCACTGAGCAGGCCTTAGCAGCGGCTTTTGAAGTTGAAAAAATATATTATGTAAAAAACAAAATTATTTCTAAGGCACTCATCGATTCATTTAATTTTTTTTATTACACCCTAAGAAAAAAGGTCTGGCTGTATTTGTAGATTATTCAGAGTGCGACTGCAGTACATTTCCTGATAGAGCTCCAAAGCATATATTATTATTTTGTACCTATAAACATTGTTATTGTTAAATAGGTTTTATTATTATAATCTAAATAATCGCCAAATACAATTTACCACTTGATGTAAACGCTCGAATAAGTGTAACAAAAAAACTATCAAGTAACAATTATTATGCATATTAGAAAATAAATTATTAACGCATATGACGTTGTAGGTATATTAATATTTGTTTAATATTATGGTACATATTAAAAGTATTAGAATTTGAAATAATTTCAACTTCATGGACAACTCGATATCTAAATATGATTTATTGTGTATGATAAAAAAAAATTCATTCAAAATTTAATCTCCCAATTCTGAATATGGACGGTCGTAAAGTATAGTGTATTACACGGAGAAACCTTATTAAGTTACATCGAATAATCGTACTTACCGTGGGTATTTGATAATTTAGACACAACTCGGTTAGATAAATCTGGAATTGTGTGCGAACCTCCGTCCCATTACGCCGTTGATGACGTAATAACAATAATAATATTATATTAATAGATTACAACGATGAGTGACCCGAGCACAAGATGGACTTTTCAGTTGCACGTTTTGAACGGTAAAAGTAATTATGGCTGGACGGAGTGCAGATTCGTTGATGCGTTTATTTAAACGTTCAATTTCATCGAAAATAATATTATACGTATAATAAAAAAAAAGTCCTGAAATCATTATAAGTTCATGAAAATAAACCGATGGTAAAATAAAAACCCAAATCACTCATTTGGCAGCAATAATAATATAATGACGTGAAACATTGGACACCTAGCCGTACACGGAATATATGATATTTTTACAATAGCATAATTTGTGTTCCATTGTGTCGGTATTTTCTAAATGAGTGATTTAAATATTGATGTTGTCCATTTCGGTCTCGCCGACGTATCAGACTATAAAATAATAAATTGTCAATTAATCCGTAATCGCCGGCCCTTGTCCGCACGACCGTTTATTATTAGGTATTAAAGCGGTAATATATTAACATTATACATATTATCATGCGACAGCGAAACGGCTATCCTAAATATACAATAATAATAATAATAATAATAATAATAATAATAATAATAATATACCGTCGACTGGTCATGTTGAAATCCCCTTTTCAAAGGACACCTTTTTTTTTTTTTAAATCCCGTCTGCAGCAGAAAAAAATTTCCGGAAGAGCGCATCGCTTCACTCAGATCTGCTGCATTAAAAATAAAGCTGCACATTTCACTGAAAACTGTTCCGATTGATAACGTTAATTTTCACGTACTATAATACATTGTCGGGGCCAACGGGAGAAAACCAAAATTAATTTCGGAATGTTGTATTGTTGTTTCCAGAGTGGTTTGGGTCATCGAAGATATAGGTATACATTTTCGAAGTCTGGAATTCACTAGATCCATACTTACAGTTATAGTTATTTTGTTTTTTTTTTTTTAACTTTACTCTTAAACTGTCTGTGCATCATTATACTCAGCTAAAATAATTTTACATTCGGTTAAAATCATGAATATAATAATATACATAAAAGCATATTATTATAGGTGTCTATAAGCGTGGTCAAGGGTAAAAATGAATTTAATACATTTTTGTTTCGATTAGCTTATTATAGTTTAGCCTAATAACAATTTTCGTAACTACTAAGTGGGCATTAATTAAGACGAATGACTAACAGAATGGTTAATTTATTATTATTAAATTGAAAGTTGTATTAATCACTAAATTATGTACGACATGGATGGTAATTTATACATTTTTATTTAACCAAGTCATGTAAATATTTTTTATCATTAGATTAACTTTAAACTTGAATATTATTATATACTTAATAGCCGATAAAAAATAATAACGTTGTGCTAGGTAACTTAATAACTAACCCAAGTTATTAATTTACTCCATTACAATTAGATATTTTCCCACTTCTGAACTTATAATCACACACAGTATAATATAACATTATGATAGTCTACGATTTGGACTTTGCTAATATTCAAACATTTCAATAAAATATGAGCTAATTTATTTTTGGAACCATTATTTTACCACCACCAACATTATACTACTATCGCCAATCATAATAAAATAAATAAATATTATATTATTATTACTTTTATTTACGAGTTTTTTCTTTTCAATCTTCCTCGCAGACATCGAAGCTGAGTGCCAAGACGATTACATGAAAATTCGCATCGGTTTCAACGGCTCATTTGGCGGTCTGCTGTACTCGTCCGGATATTCGTACGACCCAGATTGCGTTTACATCAACGGCACTGGTCGGGATTACTACGAGTTTTACATTCAGCTGAACCGTTGTGGTACCTTGGGAAAGAACTCCAGACAAGAGGACGCCAGGAAGAACCCAGCGGTAAGAGGCTATAATAATAATAATAATAATATCACGACAATATAATATCACTCATATCATTATGCTTATGCAATGTGCTAGTACCCATGCATAACAATAATGTGAGTATAATATTGATTTATTCACGCAAATCAAGTTAACCCTATAGTTTCGGTTATTATACTTGGGTACTATCAATATCAATATTACAGTTAGGGGATTTTAGTGACATGTCAGTGTGTCACAAGTAAATACACTTTTGAGTGTGAGTGGGTCTGATTTGGGTATTTTTAAGAACGAGTCGTCGAACAATTATTACTGTTAATTGGTGTACGTGCAAACCTTATTAATACCTATTACTGCCGTTTTTTTTATGACACTATAAATAAGGTCATATAGCCTGACAAAACTGTGGTACTCCTTGTTGGTCTGATTTTAATTGTTGGGATTTTTTTGGCGTGATATACTATCAACAATAGTATATTATTGTAATATTGAAGTATATCTCAATGACGTGCTGTTTAACTGACGGACTTGATTTTTGTTTCTAGAAAAATCTCATGTGGAACACCGTAACCGTACAATACAACCCATTGATCGAAGAGGAATGGGACGAACACTTCAAGGTGACCTGTGAATACGGCTACGACTTTTGGAAGACTGTGACATTTCCGTTTTTAGACGTTGAGTACGTGTACACGATATCCGTTTAATAATACTAATTATTGTACAATTTAGTGGTACATTACTTTATGAGAAAACAAAAATAATAATAACAATCATAAAACAATGACAACTTTTGTTCACTATTGTATTAACATTGTCTGATCTTCCGTTTCCGCAGAGTGGCCACTGGCAATCCGGTCGTCTTTACACTGTCACCGCCCGAATGTTACATGGAAATACGGTATGGATACGGCACCACCGGAAACAGGGTGGGCGGACCCGTACGCGTGGGAGACCCGCTGACTTTGATCATCTACATGAGAAGCAAATATGGTAATGATCGAATATTGCTAATAATAATAATCTGCAGTGGCGATTGCGCGTTCTTGATCAAAGTGGCGTTTTCGGTATAATTCGCTGAACCGTTGGCGCGATGATGGGTATAAACTGAGCGTATATACTATATAGTGTATGCGATGGTGGCTCGTAAATTGTTATTATAATAATATTGATTGGGCAAAGCAAAATTTGTTTTAAACTTTCACTATACTCTGGTTGAAAAAAAACCAAAGTTCCTTAAACTCGGTGATGCATTTTAGTAATCGATTTTCACTTTGACAATTTTACTTTATTATAAAAGTAATATGTACTAATGTGCTACAGTTAAGTAAAACGTTATTACGGAAAAAATAATTTAAAAATTATTATATTCGACCTTATAAATTAATGATAATCTTCGCTTACACTACTAAACAACGGTGTCGAAGATGATGCCTTCTTGAAAAGTGGTCCATGTTCGTGACATAATAATATAATATCGTTATTGTTGTTATCATAACAAGAAATTATGAGTGCCTGAACCGTTTTACATTCAGCTCGCGTGCACTGGAATTGCATACACCTGTGCACCACTCAGACATAGTTTTCGAAATTCCTTCGGCTTAATGTCGATGCACACCATTTCTGTAACATGTTGCATAAAAAAATTGCAAAAATGTGCATTACAATCTCCGCCGCAGCGTGGTGTAAAACAGGTGTCCCCACACCAGCTAACCAGCTAACACGGCACTCGAACGCCGTACTATTATTGTGTCGTTAAATATTATTCATATCGAACAAATTATTATTATTATTATTATTATTTTACAACGATAAAATGTTAACGGTTTTTCCGGATGTGATTGCAGATGGTTTCGATATTGTGGTGAACGATTGTTACGCGCACAACGGAGCGCAGAAGAAGATTCAACTCATCGATCAATACGGGTGAGCGAATAATAATATTATAACAACGATTGACATTATTTATCATAATAATATCAATGCAATAACAATACTTTAGTCGTGTTATAACCACTACTACCACGCTGTTTACGGCGTCCGGCCGTCGTCAATAATTGTATCCGGTCGGGGGACCTTACCTCCGGGTATTTGATTTATCCGTTTGTGTACCATATTATTATGGATAGCAAGAGTAAATAATGAATAAACGATGAAATATATTTAAGGGGACGTTATAATACCTCCGAGTTTTCAGTTTATACAAACACACGTATCTAAATATACACAGACAGCAAAATATCAGTTTTTTTTTCAAAAAAGAGCATGTAATATAGTTATATCTGTTTAGAAAATAATATGAAAAATAAATACTAAATAAATAATAATATTAACAATCGGTTATTATGAGATTTTTATAAAATATTGTTTTCTTTCTATTTTCAAACGTGGTTATAAAAAAACAGTAAAACAACCGATCAGTGTCATTATTATTTTCTTTTATTGTCTGAATTATGATTTTGAAATATTATGACAACAGCGATGACACACCAGTAAAAATTGTGAGTTTGGAATTGGTGTTCGAAAATATTTTTATATTTATTGAGTAGTTGTTAGAATTGCCTATTTTATACCCCTCATAAACGACTGTTTTTTTCTAAATCGGTTGCCGTCTATCGACGATTGCTCTAAAAAGTGCCTAACAGTACGTTTTTGAACTCTGACTTGACCAACATATTTTGTCTATTCTTTGCAGGTGCCCAGTTGACGACAAGCTTATCAGCAGATTTAGAGGATCATGGAGTGAAAGCCAAGTGTTTGAGACCCAAGTATTCGCCTACATGAAAACGTTCAGGTTCACAGGGTCACCGGCGCTTTACATTGAATGTGACGTCAGAATGTGTCATGGCAGATGTCCAGTAAGTCACCATACCGAATTCGACCATTGAGTTGGCCGTTTGACCAAAATAGTACCTACCTAATAAATGTGACCGGAAACCTATCATCAGTAACTACTACACTATACACTATATACAGCAATATTTATTACAATACATTTAGTAAAAACTGTTTCGCTTTTAAACTTAACTAGTAAGTTAATTTTCTAATTATTAACTTGATGACTTATCTAGTTTAATTGGCTGTCGAAAAAACTTAACCTTGGATTTAAAAACAATTTGTCAAGTTAAAATTAAAAATGTTTTGAAATTATCGGTTTTAATGGTTTTATATACTACCACTTGGTATACGAGGTATCAAATAATATGTGTCACATTCTTATGTTTTCTGTTAAAAATATATAGGTAAATTAGCATAAAATACTTTTTATTTGATCCACCTACTATTCGTAGGTAAAGTAAAATGATACTACATTTTGAAACTGAATTTAGTTAAGATTTTCTTAACATTTGATATTTTAACTTAACGATATTGTGTTCACTTAAAACTTAAATTGAGTTAATAATTTTCATTAACTTGCCCGCCTTTGCTTTGGTTGACATAAAACAAAATCCTATTAAATAAAACTAATTACGCGTGTGAGATGCTAATGAACAAAAAAATATTAAAGTATTTAGTTTTACGACCACCTCCTCCTCCATTTTATTACTTATAATTTGTAAATAGTACCTAAGCCACTTTATTTTATTAAATATTATGATCGGCTACTGAAGGAAAAAAAACAGACTTTTGATCAGATATCGGTCTAGACCGATTTTTGACTACCTATACCACTTACCTAAACTATTTTTGACTATATCACTTACCGTATTGACTCTGGTATACAACGAAATCTGACCTTCTCGTTCCGTTTGTTTTTTCTTCACGTGCAGAGTCAACCGTGTCACTGGAGGAATGCCAAGAGCGTATCGAAACGGTCCACCGACGTGGAGGTGGCTACTACCCCAGCGGCCCTTTCGCAAAACATCAACTTGTTCCAGTCGTTGAGAGTGCTCCAGGAAGGCGAGAACGGTGAAGATGCAAGTGCACTTAGCAACAGTGAGTATACAAATATTGTTATTATTACAACTTATTATAATATATAGTCATCCAAATAACCACCTCCTCAGTGCACAAGTCATTTCAAGCCCAACGGCCAACATATATTATATTTTATTCAATTCATTAGCCTCAACCATAATATTATTGTTCATTAACTCGGTGATATTTCTTGATACCATTGATTCAAATATTATGACATTGATAAAGTTGCGTTTACCACAATGATGTCTGATGGTTATGTGAGGACTGCGGGTAAATATCTTTCTTCATGATTTTTCTCATCAAACCCTATATGATGAATTTTCGACCCAATCTGCATCTATGTCGATACAGTGGTAACGACACAATTTCGGGACACATTAATAGTTGTTTCACGCCGCTTAAAAATAATAATTCCTCTTCCGGCCTAATTTGGTGCCAATCGCTGACATGTTTCACACGGACATAATATAGCGTTATGTGTCGTTAAACCCGCAACTAATGACAGCCAATATTTGAAACACAATGTGAGCATTTCATATTAATATATTATATTGTTTCAAACATTTCCATCTGTGAAGTAATTGGAAAAACTGGAAATGTGATTGGCTCGAGAACAAAATAATATTATTATAATCACGGAACCTATCATTGTTTGTTATCCGACTACAATACAATAATTAATGTTTCATTGATCTCGCTTCAACTTTAAACAGACAGATCGTCTTATGCTGGTTTAGCCTATTCCACGACCCAACCCCCTCCAAAATCGCATCGTGGAATATAATAATTTAATAAATTGTACAATTTGCAGGGACCACCGGATACTACACGGACAACAGCCAAAATTCAGTGTGCGTCCGGTCCGGTTTGCTGGCCGGTCTGTTGGCGCTCGCCTCCACTGTGCTGTGCTTCTTGAGCTTGGCACTGACCGTCATGTGTTACCGGTCCAAGCGACTGGTCAAGGGGTGCGCCGACGATCCTGCGCATCACGTGATCGCTGCCGCGCCGGCGAGATGTTTCCTCACGCACAAGGGCAGAATAAACTGAAGGGGGTCGACGTAGGTCGGCTGACCACCGGGGTAGGGGGGTACGGCAATAGCAGCCTGTATTTTTACAAAATATCGTCAGGTACAAAACACTTAACATAATATTATTATCATATCATACTATCGTGTATACAATACAACACTCTCATCACCACTCACATCCAACATAATATAATAATATAATATATATATTTTTTTTTGTTTAAAAATCGTAATCTTAATTATTACTACTATTATTATTATTATTATTATTGTTGTTATCTATTTTTGTATGAGTTCTGTCGGAATATTAAACGCCGTAGAAACACACTGTACCACCTTAGGTTTAACGGTATTGCAGAGCAGACATTTTTAGTGGATTATCCGTGACCAGATCGCGTACAGACAGAACGATTTGCATTTATTTTATATAAGAATATTATCTTAATATTATGTTACGCATACGTGACGGTCGGACGGCCTTTTTCCCGAGTCGCCAATCCGTTCTCCTGGGGACGTCAGCAGGGACTTCCGGCACTCAAGACGACCCTCGTCGTTTAAGTTTGTCATCTCTAGAATAATATAACATCTAAACTACGTTTACCCACTACCAAGTGTCGACCCGTCGTCATTCGTCTGCTGTTGTTCGATTGAACATCTCTCGTCCTGTCTGTGTGCGAACGTCGGTCTGAAACACGTGATGATGATGACGATAATAATAATAATAATAATAATACTAATAATAATACTACTACTACTACTACTAATAATAATGATAATATATTGTCTTTCCGATCATGTCTCGCGCTGTAAGACAGATAATATTGTACTTTAAGTCAGGTCTAATGCACTATTTATACGAAATCAACGACATCTTTATGTAATTTTTTAATCTTTTTCAATTATTATTATTAAGAAGAAGAAGAGAATATTATACAAAAATGGGCCATACTAAGTAAAAAAAAAAAGTAATAAATAATATTGTATCAATTAATTCGTATACTTACTGTAATATTATAGTAGTTGCTATTTGCCAATGCTGTAACAAGCGTGCAACAGCTGATGCGTTCATACTACGTCATTAATTCTCAAAAAACATAATTATTATAATACATAATATTAATAAATTCGGTTGTCCGGTCGGTGGCTTTTCTTTATTATTACACATTTTCGAATAGTATAAATATTTTTTCACGCCGTCGATGGACGATGATCGCACGTCGGGGCGGCGGCGTAGTTTTTCCGCACTCGAAAGAGATTCGTGATTATATATTATTATTATTATCAGCTGTTATTCAGTTTCTGCGACGAATGACCTATCAATGGTCAGCGACCAACCGTTGGTAACGATGTTATGACGTCATAATATTAATATACCTCCGCGAAATAACTACACACGTGACAGTCATGTTTCATCGAGATTTTCAGTACGGCGAGTGTGGGTACCATTTAGGTCGCAGTTTAGAGGAATGGATATCTTGACACGTAATGTTACATATAAGACGACGTATTATGCACACTATAGTGAAGTAGTTAGTGATATTATGCAATATTTAGAAAAGGGCTCAAATTCTAAAACTGTTTCCGCCGGATGTAATATTATGCTCGTTCGCCCCCACACGTCGCTCTATATCATCATAGCTCCCTCTCCATTCGTTATATTTAGGTAAAATCATTTCGATTCTGCCACTGTGTCTACCACCTCTCATCAAGTCACTCCGTATTCTCTCACGTCGTATGTCATTTTCGATTCATTTCGGTTACACAAACGAGTTGGCATCGTTTTAATAGATGGAACTTACCTACCTACCTGGTCAAACATTATATTATAATAATACTATAGGTACATATTAGTACCTAAAAATATCCATAATAGTACCTTAAAATCGTATATTATATAATACTTTAAAACTATACAAGTAATAATCCGTTACGTCGTCATTATAATATTATTGTCATTCGTTTCAATAGCTGATGAATAACTTGAAAAGGATCAAGAATTTTTCTTTTCCCTTGTCGCTTGTAAATATTCATATAATATAATATTATTGTATTAGAAACGTCTTCTTAAGTAAGTTAGATGTGTATCTTACATTATAAGTAGAGTTACATATACATATACATTTTTTTTATTCAGTGTTTGCAAATGAGTAAACACGATATGTTAGAACAACCTCTATCTAACGAGCAACTAATTGATGCGAGCGACTATAGAACGTGAAAACGATTATAAGTGCGCGGAAAAATATTGTTATTATTATTATTATTTTTCCGAAATCATTTTCCACGGCAGAAAAACTATTTTCGCGTGGTTAGGACGAGTGAATAAAATCTAATATCGAGTCGTGTGAAAATATTTCCGTCAGAAAATATTATGTTGTGCTCTTTATATAGGGGTTGTACTAACAGACCTATTAGTTCTTAAGCTCTGTACAGAGCATTTAGTGTTTTTGGTATAAAAACAAAATGCATTTTTTTTTATATCATAATTCCATAATGTATAATTTTAATATTTATTATAATTATTTTATCATAACATTAGTAATTATATAATATATATATTTATTTGATAAAATATATAATATATAAATATTTTTAGTAACCTAATATTATTATATTATGATACATTTATTTTAAATATAATTTTAGTATTGAAACTGTGCGTTTTTCGTTTATTTAGTAACCTTTTACGTGATGTACTATCACCTTCTGGATATTATAATAATATAATAATGTAAACGTGTATACGTTATCAATTTCAACAAGGTTTTATAATAGCCATCTTTTATTATTGCCCACACTGATTAATATTGGTTAATAATAAATTAATTTAAAATAGACTAAAATAGTTTCTCTATAGATCTATCTATTTTTTTTTCATAGATCATAGACTGAACAACATAAATCGTAAAAAGTAATTTAAAAATTTAAGGATTATAAATAATTTATTACTTAGCTGGGAAAATCAATAAGTAGGTAATATATTAAAAACTTTAAAAAGACAAATAGAATACAGAAAAAAAATAAGCACATAATATTATTTACTTTTATCAATCATCGATTATATAAATTAAGATTTTATATTTATAAATTTTGTAAAAGCAAAAGGTTCTTGAATAAAAATAATAATACTTTAAAAAGCGGATACAAGAGAAATTAATGTTTAGCAAATACATTTACATTGGCACAGCGTCTTCTAAATTTATATTGTTAACTAATTCTTTTACAATATTAAGAACCATGATGAGATTGTTCTGTCTTTCATCACACATGGCCATGGTACTATGGTAGTGCGTAAAATATATGGCTTTACATATTTTTCAAGAGATAAAAATACTTTTACTCAATCATTAATTGATAATACCTTCGACATTTGCTTTTTTATTTCATCTGTTAATCTAAAAATACAATTTAAATTTAATCATATAAATGATGGTACATTATGTCTGCTGGCCAATTGGGACTAGGTATTTGTTTTAAAAGTAAGGGGTGACACATTATTCACTCCCCCACCCCAAACGATGCCCTTACAGTCACCCAGTCAATTTTATTATTTTACTTTTAGAACATAAGGTTGAAACGTTTTGCCTCAAATTTTGAGCCTATATGACAACCTGGGGAATGGTTCAGTAGCCCCTCACTACATGAATATAAATTTTAATTGTTGCAAAATATTAGACTGCGAATGATAAAACAATGGTTGAAAATAATATTGCAAATATGTTACAAAATATTTTCGCTGGTTTAACCTACAGTGATGGTTGTCTTCCCTACCCAAGGGGGCTTCGTGGAAGTTGTTTGAATTGAAATAATAATAGTTATCTATCATTGGGAATAAATGTGTACCAAACTCTACTCTTCAGATTCTACGATAGCAATATCAAATGTTATAGGTTTATTCTATGGTCATTATGTTCACATGTCGAACGGGAACAATCGATTACGGAAGCTTTTGTAGGTATAATATACTACCATATTTTACATGGAAACTTATGTTATACATATCGCGACCGTGATGATGGCAAATGTAATAAATGTCGCTGGCCAAATTGTGTGAATTCGACTCAATGACAGACATAAACGAACAACAATGGACTTATACTAATGAACGGACGTAGGGTTCAAAGAAAATATTATGATATCAGACTGTAGTCGAACATATTTTGTTTTCGTAAAATCAACTAATTTTTTTTTATTGAATCGTAGTGTACTAGTAACATCGATCGAGCCTGTTATAGCATAATATTTTGATTTATGGAAATTAATTTACATTTTAATATTTTACCGAAATAACGCTGAAGTTCGCATTGAACTTAGGTACAACAGTTGGGTAATTCAGTTTTAACGTACCTAATAGGAAATTAATAAAATGCTTTTAAGGGGGGCTAAAATCTTCTTTCTAAAAATGAGCCTATTATAACATAAAAAATTATAGTTATTTTTCAAAAAAACTGTTAAATAAACAGTATTATAAATTCATCTTCATAAGTATAATAATACACTTTCGCCGAAAAGAGCTTCGAAATAATTCAATTCGGGAATTAATAGATACTTGTAGTGAGCAGGTTATTGTCTATTGGTAATCGTATTTATTATTATTTACGACTCTGCTGTAAGACATTAATATATTATTAAATATACATGCACTAGTACAATATACACTTCAAAAGTTTAATGCTTTAACCTTCAAACAATCGTGTTCTTATTATTTGTTTAACTGTTTCAACTGTTGACAAGCAAAGTGTCATTAAAACGAAATGCGATTTTCCAAATGTTAATATATATTTGAGTATTTGTCCACCTTACACTAAATAATTATAATTATTATAAGTATCTATTAAAAAAAACGATACTCTATACATATTATAACTTAATTTAGCATTAATTGTCCATAATCAGTTAGAGTATGGTCTTCGTGTCAGCAGCAGAGGACATGGCAGGAATCCAATTCAATTGGAGTGAAATAAGAACAATCCATTCTTCCATTGATATCAACAATCGTATTGAATTCTAATTTAAGAA